TTAAGGCTGATTTACACGATGCCAGTCGACGTACCAGTCGAAGTCGCCAGTTACTGAATGCCAGCGGCTGGCAACGTCTAAACATAATCTGCCAGCAACTGGAGAAAGCCAGTGGTCACTGGCGTGCCAGCAGATGACATTGCCAGTAAAACAAATTATTTTGTTTTGCTGGCGCGACAGCTTCCCCCCTCCACTACATCACCACAACGACAACAGCTAACATCTAACAACAGCTAACAGCTAACAACAGCTAACATCTAACAGCTAACAACAGNTACATCACCACAACGACAACAGCTAACTGGCATCGTGTAAACAGCAACAGTCACTCGTCAACTACTGGATTATAACAGTGATATAATATTTTTAACTATCAATGATAACAGTACATCGACACGTGTGTAAAAGTTAAAACTGAGATCGAAAAATCGAAATGGCTAACCGCTGGAATGAGGAAACCACTTGTAAATTCGTGCAATTATACCGCGAGCACGAAAATCTGTGGAACATGTTTATCCCGGAGTACCGTAATCGTAATGCAAGGAGTTCATCTATGGAAGCTATCGCGTCCGAATTTTTTTTTTTTATTAATTTTTTTTGGAAATTAATACTTACTTTTATGTAATTGTTTTTTTATGATGTTTAATAAATTATGAATGTAATCGTTTTTTTATGATGTTTAATAAATTATGAATGTAATCGTTTTTTTATTAAGTTTAATAAATTATGAATGTGTAATAATTATGAAGATTAATAATAAAATAAAAGTAATAATAAAAGTATATTATTTTTTTTTGTAAATAAATACTTACTTTTATGTAATCGTTCATAACTGAATAGATAGCATCACATACTTCAGGTATCATATTTGAAATTGATGCTTTGGAAACGCGGAACATTACTGACAGTATTCTAGAGTTTGTTCCTGAGGCCAAGAATGCTAGGGTTAATTCTAACTTTAGCCTGGCAGATAAAGCTGGGCGCATAAAAGTGTCAGTACGGCTTATGATTGGACTTATCTTAAGCAACAACTCTTCAAACTGTTCGGGTGTTAGCCTTATAACAGACTTAAATTCAAGTGGATCATTGTCTCTAAGTTCTCTTATAATTGTTTCTGATGCTCCATATTTCTTTTTATCCATCCAATTTCTAACCCAAACTTTTCTTTTTCTCTTCTTCGATTCTTCTTCACATATCTCCAACAGCTCGTCACACAATAGTGTAGTAATAGAACACACTGCTTTTTTAAATGTATCGNTTTTTTTTTTTTAAGTCCACGCGCATGGTTTTATTATGCGCAGTGATTCATTTCTGCTGATACGTATTATGAACCTTAATTATATGGTGTATTATGTATTATTATTAAGACACTATTTTGCAATTACCCTATTTTTATCAAGGAATAATTTTCTTTTTTCACATATATGATGTATGAGACTATGAGTTTATCTTTTGAATTGTGGTTCATCTATGATAACTATGATGTTCATCGTTAAATCGCAGTTACTAATATATTTATCAAAATTAAATTTATATTTTTATTTTTAATATTAATTTTATTTTAATATTAATTTTAATTTAAATTTACAGTGTGCCACTTATAATAACCTGCTAAATTTTTTTTTAATTATTCTATAATATAAAAACAATTATTATAATTAGATTATTAATAATTTTTGTGTATAACAGGGGTGTATTTGAGAGAGATTGGCCTCTCCTTGAACAAGCGCTAGCAATATTTTTTTAGGCAACTTCTAATATATAAGGACTGAATGTCCATTTTTTTTCATCAGTACTTTAATTTTAGCAAAAAAATTTCTATAACATGTTTAACAAAGTAAAAAATATTAAATTTCCTCCTAAAATAATTTTTGAATAGGCCTAAAGGGAATACCTCATTAAGAGGCTTCAACCTTATACCCAATACATTTTACTATATTCTCTTTTTGAATTTTCCTGATTTTAATAATAACATTTTTAGCTATAGTTTTCTATAGTTTTCACTGATTCTGAAGTAATATTTTTTGTGAAAAACACTTATCGTGCCCGGCGTAGCCGGGTACTTCTACCGGAATCAGTGGCCTACTTATGATGACGGCCCGAAGAGACTTACGCGCCGAAGGCGCGTAAGGCTCGAAGGGCCCCGGGTCTGGGGCGGAGCCCCAGCTAGGCGGAGCCTAGTGTATATTTATATAAAAAAAAGTGATTGATAATTAATTACTAAATCATTCTGTCTTGCCATTCCACTGACCACTCTCCATTAAAATAATCCTTATATCTGTCTCTCACTTGTTGTGCGATTTTTTTCGGTCTATTGTTAATTCGTGTCCGTAAAATACTTGGCAGCTGAGACAATTCAGATCTCCACTCCCCTTGTATTATTGTAGCATTGACAATGTCTTCGTAGTCATAACTATTTGGTGGTGTGTAAGTGGTAGGTGAAGTTAAGCGTAACCAGTTATGTATGGCACATGCAGCTTTTACTATTTTTATAGTTGTTGGAACTTTTACTGCCATTGGTTGTTGAAAAATACGAAACCGGCTGGCCAATATACCAAAACCGTTTTCTACAATTCTTCGTGCTCTACTGGTTCTGTAGTTATATATTTTTTCTTCTTTAGTCAGATTTACCTTTGAATAGGGTTTCATAAGGTAGGTTTTTAAGGGGAAGGCATCATCCCCCACCAGTACTCCTCCTTTTGGTAGTAACGAATCATTTTCTAGTAAAGGATATAAATCACAGTACTGAAAAACACCACCATCAGCATTTCGCCCATAAGATCCGACATCAATGTATCTGAAGCAATAGTTGTGGTCGACTACACCAAGAAGTACAATACTGTTTGTACCTTTGTAGTTATAGTATTCACTCCCTGAACTTGGGGGTGCTTTAATTACTACATGTTTTCCGTCTATGGCTCCGCAACATCCAGGGAAGTTCCACTTTTCATTAAATCCAAATTGGATTTCTTCCCATTCCTTTAAATTTGGCACCTGAAAAACAGTAGAAATTGTAATAATTTGTAACAGTCTGAAATATTTAACTTTTTAGGGAACCATAACTCAAGACACTTTGACCCAAGACACTTTGACCCAAGACACTATTCATGAACAAGATGATGAAGCTGTTCCTGTTGACGATTTGACTAATGCAAGAGAACAGTTAGTAAGTACCCCCGGAAGTGATAAAAAATTAAAAGTAAATAAAGGTCAAAAAAGAAGATTAGACGTCATAACCAATGCCGTCCACGAGTTAAAGAATCTAAACGAAACAATTAATAGTCCAAAAACATCTATTCAGGATGATGAGTGTGATGTCATGGGAAAACATATTGCTATACAACTACGGGAGTTACCCCCTTACGATAGGGTATTGGCAAACTTTGAATTACAAAAAGTTCTGTTGAACTATCGGTTGAAAAATATGAGAGAGGTGTCACCATCGACTTCATATAGCCGTCCTAGCAGTGTTGCTTCTAATTTTCAATTGAACCCATATACACCACAAACCCAAACCAGTGAAGAAAGTAGTAGCCGCCCTAGTAGTGTTGCTTCTAATCTTCAATTGCACCCATATACACCACAAACCCAAACCAGTGAAGAAAATAGTACGGCAGATATCATACATGCAGCTTTGGTGAGCTCTGATATCAATAGTGATTTTTATTAATAGTATTTTGGTTTTTTTTTTTTTTTGGAAATTAATACTTACTTTTATGTAATTGTTTTTTTATGATGTTTAATAAATTATGAATGTAATCGTTTTTTT